CAGTGTATATAATATTTAGCGCAAGGCAAAGAGTATTATGGAATATAGATTATTCTGCAGATATTTTCAAACTTTTAATAGAATCTTCTGTACAGCTATTTGAAGAAGCCGAGTTATTGAAGCTGCAAAAAAGTGTCTGCCAAATCAACCAATATTAAATATGTTACTGTAAAATACCACTAACAAAGCACAAATGTTGATGCTGACTTCCTCACTAACTGTCATATTCTTTCAAATATTTTTTTTAGGGAAGATTCTATTAAAAGTTTGAAAATATCTGCAGAATAATCTATATTCCATAATACTCTTTGCCTTACACTAAAAATTATATACACTGAAATTCTTGCTATCAAAATCTGAAGGTAAATGAGAGCTGAATTATAAAGACAGGATTTTTTTTTAAAGAGACTCCCCTACATTTAAAATTAATTTATTATTCTTTATTCTACAGGGCCCATTTTGTAAATTATATTGATAATAGAAATCAATCTTTATCCAATCTCCCCCTTATAAATGATTATACGTCAATAGAAGTGTCATGATATACACCATACAGTTACCTCTCTTCTCCTCTTCTCTTTTAAGTTTGTCCTCTTCCATTTCTTTGGGAAGTTTTTCCTTCTTCTCTTTTTCTACATCATTATGTAGATGTTTCGTAGTGTAGCTAAGGGCTGGTGATAACAGGATCTCACCATTTTTGCAGAGTTCATCACGGATTTTGATAAAGAACTGCTGAAGTTCCACAGCATCCTCATAAATCTCTGAATCCGTCCTTTAAGAAAAAGAATAACATGTAAAATGCTAACCTATAAAATGTAATAACTTGAGCATGAACACATTATAAATATTATTCGTATCTGCTGCCTTTCGGGTCCAGCTTTGGATGTAATGAGAAATGTCAAAATGAAATGAAATAAAAAACCTACAATCTAAATAGTTTTAAAAAAAAAACATTTAAATTACTGAGGAACATCTAGAACTAAATGTACATATTATTTTAAGTGATATTACAGTAATCTAAATGTCACAAGAAAATTCCAATCAGAATGACAGTGTCTATTTTTTAATCAACGTTTGCACACAAAATAGACATCATGTAAAACCTTTAAAGGCCTTTAAAAATTAAAAAAAAATTCACAATCATTTATAAATCAATCATTTCCCACATCTTGCAAATGCTTTATTATAAAAAGGGCTTTTCTTTATTTTAGTCATAGTCACAGCAAAAGTAAAGTACTACTTACCGGTTCATTCTCCTTGCGCGTTCCAGTACTTCAAACATATGCTCTTGGAACAAATCCAATCTTCTATAGCGGTTATTCTCTACATTTCTTCGTATGATGTCAAAAGTCAAAGGAGGCTTGTTTGGGAAACTGGGGTCAACAGCAGGAATTTCAGCTAAAGAGTCACTATAGCACCTCCCCTCATCATCCTGGTGACTCATTACAGAGACAAAAAGGTTATGGATAAGTTCTTGAATCAACAGAGTTACATTTGGGACATGAGAATCTTCATCCCCTTCTATATCTCTTCTAGTCTCAAGCAAAACTTTATGTAGCACAAGTGCATCTTTGTAAATCAAGGATTCAGGTTCATTGTAAGTGCAGGCATTATTAAACATCATTACAAAATCTTCAACCATAGAATCAATATCCTGATATTTGTTGGCCATCATGTGACTTCTTATTTTCTCCATATCAACTGGCTTTTTAATTGTCAGATAATAATCAGGAAGCTCTGACCGTGATGGAAGTCGTAGAAAAATAGCACTGAGTCTTCTACCTCGCTTATCTGTATAGTTCTTCACAGCTTCATATACTTCATTAAGCTTCTGTTGCATTGGAGTCATATATTTTGATTTTTTAGGAGAGATGCCAGTTTTTCTACCTAGGAAGATAAAACTAAATTTTGCCATTTGCAATATTGGTTGCTCAAATATTAATAGGATTTCTGACCAGACAGATCTAACTGATAAGATTTTTTATACTTTTCAACATACTCTGAATGTTCCCTCACAGTGGCACACATGACATGGTACATTCAAAGTAGTGGGAGAAAAAATATTACAAGGGTCAGGTTAGTTTTGTCAAAAGTAAAAGGCATACTTGTTAGACATCACAACCACAGGAATTTAACAGATAAGTATTGCCACATCTGGAGATTCTTCATTACGTACAATTTTGTGACTGCACAAAAAAATAAGGCTAAAACCTATTATGAGTCCTGTTTCATAAACATTAGAAACTTCTGGGTCACGACACTGATCACTAAGTATAAAATGCAGTACTAATATTTAACTCTGAATCATTAACAATTTATATTACTAACTAACGCCATGTTCAGTATTAAAGGTTTACAGTAAATGCTATTAAAGCAAAATATGATTCTACAAAATTAAAACAAAACACAGTTGTAATAATAATTACTTCTTTATAAATATCACTCTAATGTATTTCCCTAAAATCTCAAAAGTGCATTAGAGTCTTGCCTCATTTTAGGGCATTTTGCAAGTTTT